AATCACTGAAAATTTGCGTAAATGATCAAGAAGAAATCAGAAACTGATATTAAATTTGTACTTTTCAGTTAAACTTATCTTCTCATTTAACAAACTGAGTAATTGTAAGCTTGCTAAGACTACATTCAATTTCAAATTGATAATAAGTTTATGTGTTCATTTTAAGCAAAGACTTAGTTTTAGGACCCCTTTCTAATTTCTCATCCTAAATATATCTATATATATATAGATATAGATAGATAGATAGATAGATAGATAGATAGATAGATAGATAGATATGTTTAAGATGAAAAATTAGAAGGAAGCCTTAGAAAGTATATATATATATATACTTAAATACTACTTTTTTTGCAGTTGCACATAACACAACTTGACCAATCCAATCACGACTGATCTTCTAACCAAAATTGATCTTTTAACCATAATTGACCCAACCAAAACTAATCTTTTAACAATGTGTTTCATGGCTTTATCACAAGAAATTCCTCACTTTCATAATAAGTGGTCTTTAATTATTTATTTGTAAAAATATTTCAAATCTTTCATGGCTTGGCTAATTTGAACATTGTTATCCTAAAACGCATCTCATCTTCCTGTAGTGTAAATTTGCAGTAATGTACTGTGTAAAGCTCGATTAACAATTTGAGGCAGTTGGCAAGCCATAGATCATCATACCCTTTATTTAAAAAACATTTCTAGACCCTTAGAAAAAAAAACTATACTATAGTGCCTTCTCGTCACTATCATTTTAGATGGCGCCTTGTTTTGCCTTAGTCGTCATTGATCCGATAATGGATATCGTATAATCGAACACGACATATCAGATTACTGGAAGGCGCCAGCGAGCTTGCAGAAGTTCAAAAGAAAAAAAAATTCCGATTAAAAAGAATTTTTAAGACTATTTTTGTATAGCTTTCGAGTTTGAATTTATAATTATTAATGTTTTTAATTTCCAGCTTATTTATTTTGATTCTTGAAATATTAACAAGACATTGCAAAAAGTGATCGGTGACGAAATATATAAAATATACCAAATAGAAATATGTTATGCCTAACAACATTGACAGTTTCAGCGAGAAGCGCAATTCAACAAAATAGTTTAATACTCGCATAAGCGTCAATTTTCATTGTAGGAAAGGTTACACTAAATAATTGATCTTTGTTCGAATTTTTTTTAGATATCTCGAGATTAACAATCGTTCAAGAACTAGAAAGTTTGACATATCTTTCTGAATTTCCCAAAACCAAAATTTTATATTACTGTTATATCCGCAAAGCAGACTACTTGAGGGATGCTCAGGATATGAAAGAGAGAAAGTTGAAATACTACTGTATGTTCCATAACATCCCGAGATATTAAAAGGTGATTGGAACAAACAAGTTTTAGAAAGTTTTGGTACGCAAAAACGAGTACCATTACCATTCGCATCTCATATCAACTCTCGAAATCTTTACCAAAGCAGTCAGTTTCGGGAAAAGTTGAAAAGAAAAACGGTAGGAGAAGGTGTAGTAGTCTGGTGATTCTATATGAATGGCCGAGCATACGGTCGGCCACAATAAATAGATCCGTATCGCTGCATATCTGATCAAAATTCTTGTTTTTTCAATTTTTTAAAACACGTCGCTGACATTCTCGAACAGCGATCCATCAAGGTCAGGACACTATCCATTTTCTCCCACATTGTTGAAGGAAGATTTAGACAAATATCATTTTGGTCCTTCATTTTATGATATTGAATAAAATTTTCCTACAAAATTCTAGAGGAAAAATTTTTTAATGAATGGTATTTGAAATCACTTTTTTGTTTAAAAGTAAAACATGCTTAGCCTACTATTATTGCTTGTAACCCGATAGGGAGAAGTAATATATTTGAATTCATAACTTCAACCCTTACAGTTCATATTTTACAAGGTCTTTCACGATACAATGAAGGCAAGAGCACGGTGCATTATTTCAAAAAGCTTTCTGAATTACAACAGACTACGTTTTTGCATAAATGATATTTCCTGCATTGCATAACTTTTCAAATCTAAGTATTCTCCTGATCCATCCTAACTTCATTGGTATTCATGGAATACATCTACTAATTAATAATTACAGTTTAATGAAGGAGTGATCCAATGACCAAAGAATTCGCTTTCGAAAAATGATATTTCCTTCTTAAGCAAATAAATTTCTCATCTGTCGTGGAAATAATGATGATATTAATGGTTTGGTAGACGGAAGGGCGCATCTGTGTGTGTCCGTGCTTCTTCTCACCAATGTAAACAATGTTCGGACCTATCTAACAAATAGGAATTTCTCATAAAATAAACGAACATTTTATCTTTCCTTGGGTGCTAATGATGGTTTCATCCAACAAAATGAGGGTTATTCAAATGATTGATTTACGGTAAAGAGACCGGGAAGTATAGGTTTCGGATAATGGCTGTGTCCACCAATAACACTTTAAAAAATTGTCAGTGCAAAGGGAAATAAATTCGAAGTTGGACGATCGGACAACAGGGCGGCTGCAGAGGGGATTGTTTTCGAGAAGAGAAGGTAGCGAGCAAGCTGTTTAAACATATTCCAAAATGATATTAGTCTTAAAATCCTGAAATAAAGCTACACTACTAGAGCATCCCATCAAAAAATAGTTCCCGAATATCCCAGGAATTACCGAGAACTAAGAATTTCAGTACGGTTTAATAGCATGCAAAAAATGTACTAATGCACAACGAATAAATGTGATGAATTAGTAAATTAATGGGTATATCAACTAAATAAGCTAGACAAATGTATAGGGTATGCAGTCACTTCCAATGAAAAGAGGAATGAATGGAAGCGCAGTTTAGTTCACGGAGGATCGATTGATTTAATTTCCATAAAATTAATTTCAAAGCTCTGATAGTGAAAATCCCTGACACTCTCATCTCTCAAAAATTTCATTGTCTGCTATTTGGTATGCAATCGCTGGGACTCATCATTGCCCCTATCCAGTTGCACTGCCAGGTTGTCTACTACCCATAGCACTAAACAAACATTAAGCGCCTATGAAATTTGGAGAAATTTCATTCAAATGATCAAAAAAGAAGAAAAAGAAGAGCAATTTGAAAAGATTGTGACACGGTAATGGCTTTGAAGTTCGCTGCGTGCTATTCTTTTCACGTTTTACGTTCCCGTTCCCACCCCCTGTCACAGCTATTTGTGGAAATGAAATAAACTTTTCCATTCGATTTTCGTCAACATCTGCTTATAAAATTATCCGACGATCCTTCCAATAATATATATCTTTAACATAGTGATTTCGAGAAATGAAATCAAATAATGATAATTATACTTTTAGATGGGATTGAAATGGAATAGAACAGAATTGAATAGATGATAGCAGCACAGAATAATATTAATTTCATTGATGATAATATTTGATTCGGAAAATTCCATTAAATCAATGAGTCACAAAGTTAATCAAGTATGAAATGAATTGATATTCATAATCTCAAATGATTTTGGGCTCGTCATAAGCCGACACTTTTTATCACAACAGTATTCTGATTATTTTGCTCTGTATCATAAGTTGATAAATTTCTCCGTTTTTGAACTTATCACTGTAATCTACCATAATTAACTGATGTGCTGTGCAAATTTGCTAATTAATTTGAAAAATTTACAAACGAAAGTTTACTTACATTTGTCATAAATAAAATAAATCTGAAACAAAATACATGTTAATGTGATAACTGCAGAAAAAGGAAGAGAGCCTATACTAAAAGCAAAACGATAAACTAGCATTTTGTTCTTTCCGAACTGAAAATTTTTCCGACAGATATCCTTCAGCATGAATTAACGAATTAAATTAAATTCTTAGTTTAGTCAGAAGTTTAGAATGGGAGTTTTAACTGTACTATTGATGAAAAAAGGGATATGAAATTCAAATTGAAGGTTACTTCGACGATTGATGTTGACAATTAAACACTGCGATTTCAGACAGAGATAGGACAACCGATCGCAGTGACAACCACCACCCTCCCCCCCCCCTCCCTCCCCCCTCCCCCCAATACACCCTTATACCACAATTTCACCTTTTACATTTTTCGCTTTCTAATAAATATTTTAAACTTTACAGATTAACAATAACTTGCAAATGCAAGAGGATATGAACGTAATTAGCTAAAACACAACTGGAATTACTTTCCTGCATGCATTTTTTGATAATATTAACGCGGAATTTTCGATTAAAATAGAAGAATTGAGAATATAAGTGAATCGCGGGAATTGAGAATTGCTATAAATTCAGTTTCGATCTGAGTTTTTCCGGTTTCGTTCATCTTGCTCTAACTACTGTAATTATAGCTAAAGTATGGCTAAAGCAATCATTATATACGATAATGTTATGTGCATATCAATAGACTAAAATTCAAAGTTTTGCATTTCTTTTTTTACGAGACTTATTTATGATAAATTTCTCGACGATTGATGTCCAAGAGTGAAGATCGTCAAGCATCGATTATGCTCAAGGACAATCTGATAGACTGACGACTTGTGATGGCGAAATATTAATGGAGATATGGTTACATGCTACCAAAAAGTTATCAAATTGCTGAATCTGTAGAAAAGTGAAAACGAAAGCGGCCTTCCGTCCAACTAAAAATGCATTTTTTTTCTTTGAAGGGGAGATGAAATGTGCTTTTACATAAATAGAATGGTCAGTTGGTAATGTTGAGATGATTGATTAACAAGGACTTAATGGGCTCTTCAAATTTACTCATCTGTAATTCTCTGTTCGGTAAATTATCTCTATATCAATGCGAAAGCACACTTCTATGATATTTATTGATTAAGTATGAAAATGATTTTGTCAATAAGAAATTTTAAAATATTTATAATAAAAAGATTGATTATGTAAACCAACGATATATGTACTGTTTTCAAGAGCAACTTGGAATAAGCTGCACATATCGATGCTTATGAAAACAATAATTCGTTTACAAGCTGCTATCAGTTATTCTAGGATACTTTTTCAGAATATTACCAGGATATTGATAGTGGCATTCGTGTTATGGAAATCAAAGGCGGCACCGTAATTTGAATAAATGAAAGACTGGTTGTAGTACAATATCCGAAGACGATCGACGATGAATGGATGAAACTGAAATGTGCGGCATGAAAGGTTTTGAAGAAGAGGAGGTCCTTTGTACCGTAATATACCGCTATCATGGAGTTCCATCAACGATGAGCTATTCTTTCGCGCATAAATTTTTTTTTTGGTATTGAAAAATGCTCTTATCTTTATTTGTAATGACCTTGAAACTAAAGTTATCATTCACCTCTTATCGTTTATTTTAAACTTTCCCGAATTTAACATGATCATTTTTTTATAAATTGATGAAGAAATCTTGTCATGAAAATAAACAAATGGGTTTCATTCAAATGAACATTAATTACCCGACTAGAAATATGAAAGTTATTTGCATCAGAATAATGATTCATCAGAATTCATATCACTCTAACTTAAACCTTACGAATTTTTTTGCTAGCAAGATTAACTAGTGACTACTGAAAGATAGACTATATTTCATCTTTCAACATATCACACTGTATCTCTTGTAGAATTAATCAAAACAAATTACAAATACTTGACAAACATATTGACACTAATGAAAAATGTCATTTCAATTAACTTCAAAGTACTTTAATTATTTTCCAATAAATAATACTGTTTAATTTATAGTAAAAGTTCATGAATATTCAGAATCGAGAGCTCAGAAATAAAGAGTCCTGTCTTTTAAATTCATCTTTTGAAAATTCAGCAGCAAGATTTACCTACTGCTGTTATTCATGCTCTTCCAATTTTTCCCCACTTCGAAATACTGAAGTGTATTAGTCGCGGTCCTTTAAAAGGATCTCATATAAACCTGAAGAATTTAATTATTATAATTCAAATCAAGTAAAGCTTAGGTTTGAATATCGTCGAGCTGGAGAGAAAAGTATCAGTAACCACTTTTGTAGGTTTTAAACAAATTTTTTAATTTCAAATCAATTAAATTTAGTTGCAATGTTGTTTGCTTATAGGGATGATTGAGAAATTATGTAAATAGTACAAAAGGAGGGCAGGAAATGGAACAATTTTTGTTTGATATGTTATTAGGTCGTCGATAAATTCCATTTTAACATAGTTCAAGTTTAAAAGTAACAGAAGGAACTTACGAAATGAAGCTGCACTATTGTCTCATGAAATAGCAATACATTGAAGGTTACAAGAAACTTTAAATATGGGATACTGCAGTTAGACCTGAAATAAAAATTAGCCATTAAGCGACTAATTAATATTTATTGCTGAGAAGGAGGTCACAGATGAACATGAAGATGGGTGAAGTACTGAGATAGCTTCAAATTACCTATAAAGTGGTTACGTAATATAAAGGTTAATGATCTGCACAAATCAATTGAGAAGAATTCTAACCTGATCAAACAATTTTTGCAAATGGATTCGGTCATACCGGAAGATCGTCGACGGGAAAGGAAAATAGCCATTCCTGTTAAAACATGAAATATTTTGCAATTTCTGGTTGTTGTTTGTGAGATTCGACAACAACTTGATTATTTTTATTTTTTCTCTCATTACCTCTAATTAAAGTTCACATTCACAATTACTAATTAATCCCTTCCATAAACTTAACTTCAATCTACAGATTACTCTAAGTACCATTTGCGAATCTATTTCAGGTCCAGAAAAGAAAGTTAATTTCACCGTTCGATCGATTCATTGGTCAATGTATATTATCGTTTAGAGAAGGAAAATGTGAATTATTTCCATAGCAACTATATGTTTGATATGTTCACTTACAGCATTTATAGAGCTTTTTTCCTTGTGCTAATGGCTGTGGTAAAAGAGACGAAAGAAAACTATTTCTGTTTTATTGTATCTTACCATGAATGGTACTTCGAATTATCACCAGTTTGAATTTTTTGATAATACTAATAGTATTATTTTTCTCAAAATGCTTGAACTAATAGAATTCTCTTTTGAAAAAAGTTAGTATTCATTTCACTTTGATAACTTACAATTTCATCACTGTAAATATGCAATGGACGAAGTCCTGTAATTGCAGTTGCTCTGATAAGGAATTTGATATTATAATTACGAGAAGAAGAAAATAATTAGGTGCAATAGGGTTTCAAAAAAGAGCGCACAACGCTGCTCATCATTTAAAAAGTAGTTTTGCAATTCTGGGATTAGCTTTATAGTTTGACCAAAAAAAGGCAAAGAAATTAGCTCAGCTTTCTGCTCATCACAGTCTCAAGTATCATCTGAGCAGTACACTTTCCTTACCCCATTATGGCGCTTCTTGGATGATATTCTTTTTCCGCTAATGCTCTCCATGGGGAGGTATTATCTTCCATGAATTATATATGTTTGACAAAGAGAGCATCTCATCTTTATTATGAATTTCTCATTTGTTTTCATGACAGCTTGATTAGAGCGGAACTTTGCGCTTCCTTGGGATAGTCATTTTGTAACGGAACGTAAATTTCATCAAAGAGGTTTACAGTAGCAGTTATTCAATCATTCCGCACTAAATGATTGTGATTGTTTCCCAAAATATCATGACGTATTACTAATCAGTTTATCAGTATCATTATAATTTCATCCATGTACCCAAAGTAGCTTACAATGAATTAACACAAGGTAGTTGTTTATATTCAACTTTATCCCTACATAACTAGTTAGACAGATGTTTGTCAAGTAATTCGAAACACTCTTATCAGTTGGCAAATGCATTTCCAGCTACCTGAAAATGTTTTCAGCAGCATTGCCATGGATACCTTCATTGGGGAGAAGTTAGCCCTCAGTGATTTTCTTTTCTTCCGCGAAATATTCGCTGTACGAACGGTTCAATTATAAAGGTATCCATGGAAATATCGTTGACATTTCATATTGAATTACTAACTCATTAAGCGATGTTTCTTAATGATTACCAATATCTGAAATGTCTCCTTAATATGCATCTTGAAGCATTATCTTTTCTTACTCAAATGAAATCGTTGCACCTTTGTTGTCTTCTTATTGTGATATTAATTTATCTTTATATTGTTTTAGAAGTAGCCTGCAATCACTTCAACATAGATTGGGTTGAATTTATTTGCAAGTTGTTGCAAGGAATTAATTTACAGCCGTAAATGATATATTCTCATCCTTAATCTTTATTTTAGGAACATTTCAAGCTGGTAATGATTTAGTTTAGAGGAGTATAAATATATAATTCCAAATTTCGAGACAGATCAGCCAAGTTTATGCGGTTCTCTTAAAGACAACGATAAACCATTTATCAGTGATACAATACTAAAATATTCTTTCGATCATGTTCTACGTTTCAGTTTTCAATTACAAAATCAAAATTATCAGCTTTTATTTTAAATTATTTCAAATACATGTGAATTAAGAGCCTAATGGACGGAATTTTTTGCAAAACATAGCACATACATGTGCGTCTAGCCAAACACAGCTTTTTGCTATATTATTGCAATGATTGCTTTATCTCTTATCGATCAGTTAGGGCTTATCATTATTTTCAGGAAACCAATGAAATCAATCATTGTATAATTTGCCGATAATCTTTACAGGATGCTGAACATTCATTCATCTGCTATTCCGTAATGGGCAATAGTTACACTCACTTGGCTACTCAGGATCCATCCGAATTACTCCCATCTTCAGCAACAACCGGAACGGACATATCAAAACTACAGAAATGGGCCAGACGATTCTCTTCCACAGATCATACATCATATGTCAAAATGTATAAATTTGCTAAACAAATTTAGAAGATTTCTTTAGTTTTATTTTTTGGGTTATTTCATCAGTTAGTCCATCAATAGACTGGAAACTAAACAGTTCAGTAGGGGATTTATTGATTACTCCAGAAAATTTGATCTCGATACCACATTACATTGTGTCGCAGTGGATCCCTATTTACCGAAAACTTCAACGGGTCTCAAATGACACTAGCCATTACGTGACCATCAGTAGATCCAGACAGTCTGTATTTGCCTAAGTCTTAAAATTAGTTTCTTACTTGTATTGTTTAATTACCATTTCTGGCTCATCATTGTATGGCTAAGCTGTTATGAAATGATTTTGTTTCAATGATCCAATATTCATAAATTGTAAGGCGACATATACTCTGGAAAGTTAAAGAAAATCCTTTAGATCCAGAAGTACATCACAGTTCAGGGAAATCCATCCTATCATACGCGCTCCTGTCCATAGCGATGCTATTGGAGCACTGGCACCAGTAAGGCCTGGTATAGTACTTAGTGGAGGCCGTGATAAGGTTCGCTTTTTTAAATACACTGCTAGATTTGTTTTAGATAACTTTAGATTAAGTAGTGAAGTACATTACAGCTGATAGCGCTGAACAATACAGACACAGGAAAATGTGTTCTACGATGGTACGGTCACGAGAAAGAAGTCACCAAGGTAATAGAAGTTCACAAGATATTGATCAAGACTTTCTGTTTTTCCTTGTATGAAATATCAAAATCTAATTTTCTTCATAAAATTATTCTTAGTAGTTAGAAGTTATGGAAGTACCGAATTCGAAAATCGGAGAAGCAAAAAAAAGATTGGCTAACGTTGCGGAAAACTGCAAATCTTATAAATCCTCATTAACATTTCTTTTTCAGCTTCTTTAGACATCTATTTCTTAGCTAAAATATATTGACGTTTAGTTAGTAATAACGAACAGGTCAGATCTCTTTCACAAGTAATTAAAAGAGGAAAACTGGAAAAGGAGAAGTATGTGTGACTTTTCAATCAAACCACAAACCAGAAACTTTTTCATTTTTCTTGAAACCAGGCTTACTTCCTTGTAACTGATTTTCTTCAAATAAGACAAGAAAAGCAATAGTCATTGCTTGCTTATAATGGAATTATTCGCACACGTAATTCACATCAAAAGCACATGCAACTCATTATAGGAATCAAAAGGGAACTACAAGCCTTGTGGACGAAAACAGATTAGTCAACGGTGCTTTCTGGAAGATCTTTTTGAACTGAAGATTAAAATTCAAAATTTACTTCCAAATTCATCTGCATTTTGTAGATTGCATATCGAAATACATTTGCAAAGCATTTTATTCTCAGTGGATCACGAGATTCCCAAATCAGGCTATGGCAATTCGACAGCCCGAGTACTCTACGCATTTTTTCAGGACATCAGATGAGCATCGGTGGATTGGCCATACTTGATGGTGAGTAATATATATCATTCAGCGCAGCAATCCTCTTAGAGATCTCTGATCGTCAATAAGTATTTCAAAAAACGTGAGACGAACACCAAGTTTATGAAACTACAATATCAAAATTGTAGAAACGAGATTTGTCTCGGGAGCACGAGACGCTACCTTGCGGCTATGGGATCTCGAAATGGGTACGTGCTTGCGCGCTGCTCGACATTCCAGGAATTTGGTAGCCATTTTTTTTCATTTCATGAATTTAAATTTAGTGACAGGTTGTCATACTTGATTTTCTATATGAGAACAGAAAGTTGATTTAATTAAAGAAACAAATAATATTTAATTAAAAGAAGTGAAACATGGAAAAAGTGTACAATTACAGGTAACTCATATATCACACTGTAACGCAAATAATCTACTTGCCCAATCTTCGGAAGACAAACAACTGAAGTAAGCTTCCTGAATTTCCACATTTGTAGAAAACTGCTTAATACTAACAAACAAAAACGAATTATACTGCTTAGTGTTGGAGAGAAAAAATCAGGTCTCAAACTAAAGTTCAAGCTTTCCTTCGGTAAATATTATTGCAGGATCTGGGATGGTCGCAATCTGTGCCTTGCGTTTCAGTTCCCAAAGAAAAACCATATGCTTACACATTGCGATTTTTTACCGGATGGTAATTACTGCATTACATCAAGTAATGGTTCTAACGGCGATGGATGCGAAATTACGGTAAAATCTATTGCATAATTATTTAAGTTTCAAAAATATGTGCAATAGTATAATGTCCCTGTCTTTTTCTGTTTTGTTCATGTATCAATCCAATTGTCCAAGAATTCCATCATTTTCAGATCAGATTAGTATAAAGTGGGGGATGGCAACCTTTTAACCTTAATCAATTCATTGTATCCACCAATTTATTCGAGGTTATTTCTAGCTGTGGGATATCCGACAGAAGAGAATGATTCTCGAATATCATGGACATGAAGAATCGGTGAGCTGTACCATTTTTCTCCCTCAGCAGGTAACCTCGAAACGCATACTGCTGAGTGTTTCCGCTGATCATACTGCAAAATTATGGAATGTTGATGATGGAAGTAAGTTTCTTTTTGTGTGCAGTTTTCACATGAACTAGAAACTGGGTTAGACTTTTCTTCCCGAGGATTCAAAACCACAGACTGAAACGCACTTCTGATCATATCATATCATGGTTTCAGGTTGTCTGTGGAGTGAGCTCATACCAACAGCATCTGATCTATTAGCATGTGTAGGCTTCAGGGATGGAAAGTAAGATTATACATTTTCAGTTTTCTTCTTTTTCTAACAGGTAAGTTACTGAAATAGTATCATGTACTGCTGCATAGTTGAAACTGAATTACGCTAAACTGAATTGAAATTAAATAAAATCAATTTAAATTCACAAATTTTATAGTATCATTGTAAGCGGATTGAATGCTACTTTCTGTCATTTGCGGATTCTCACTCGTGCTGCTCGTCCCTATCTTGAATGTGTTTCTGCGCAATCCCGTACACGATGTTCAGTAAGCTCTGAATTTTCCACATTTACTGGTTGCCCTTAATTTTCTGTATTTTATTTTATCACATTCCACTAATTATTATGATATAAAATAACACTTCAGTCTGCGGTCTTCATTTCTGATAATGTACGGTTAATAATAAACGATCGCCAGAAAACGGATTCTGACAAATTGTCCTGTTGTATTTACAAGAAAAAGTTGAAAAAATCACAAATGTAATTGAAATTTTAGCCCGTCTAGTTTTTAGTACTTACTTCAGAGGAAAAGAAACTGTCGTAAAAGTCAAAAATTACGAACCATAATTCCCTGAATGGAGTTAAATTCTGTTATAAATAATTGTTCAAAGGAAAGTTTATCTGCAATAAATCTTAAAGGACCATCATTCATAATGATTATAAATCATTTAAACAAAGCGAGTCATGATCATGTATCACCAAATCAAGAAGAATGATAAAGAAAAAAACTCTCTGAAATAAAGATTTCTCAAGTACGAATGTTCATGTGAATGAAATTAAAAAATCGACAAATTCTTCGGCAACTGAATATTACTTTAAAAATAATGCAAAATCTAAATCTGAACAATATTGCTATATGATATTTTTGAAATTCAAATGATGTTGTTGAATTGCAACATTTTGAAATTGACAGCAAAATAAATTATAAAACTCAAATTGATGAAACTTTAAATTAATGAAGAAAATGGAGAAATGGGAATTGAAGAGATATTTGCTTTAATGAGAAAGCATTTCAGCATTTATATATTAAACACTATCTTTCATAATAATATATCTGGTCAAATTAAATGTTTGGTCGCGATACTCGATCTGATATCCATTTTTGCTAGTCAGACCAGCTTAGATTAACTTCAAAAATTGATTCTGCTACATTAGTTTATTACGAATTTTATATGATAAAATCATAATAAACATCATTTTATATTATGTTTGTTATGATATCATTTTTTAAACTTTCAAATTGATTTAATTCATTTTTGGGTACACCGGTTTGTGTTGACTCTATTCCTTAGAGTTGACACAAACCAATGTGCCAAAAAATAGCAATTCATCCATTTTCATGCAGTAAGCTTTCCAAATCTCTCGAAAATCGATAAATGGATTTTCAAAGAGAGCAACATGTGAACAATCATTTAGTATATTGAAAACTTACAATTTTGGGTGAAGTTTGAATTGGAATTTAAATCAAGCCAATGGTGGGATGAATTTGAAATGTAAAATAAAGTGTGATTCAAATGGTTTGAACAGATGAAGATGATAAGTTATACTTTTCACTGACTGACTTTCTGCTTCTAATTCTTTTTCAGTTATAGGAAAAATTCCGAAAATTACAATGCAAATTTTCTGTCGGATTACCGAAATTAAAGTTGTGTTCAAACAAAATTTCCGTAATATCCAACAAACGGGGTGACAAAATTTTGTAAGTAAAATTAAAGCAATGAAGAGGATATAAGCTAACAATAGACAGCGTAAAACAAAAACGTCTCAGTACCTACACAATGGACAGTGCTATATATATATATGAAAAAATCCCGAGACAGACAGTTTTTTACAATCGAGCAGACGATACATCCTTTTCGTTTATTCTCCACGACTGAACCACAAATGACGACATACATCTTCGCATATCCGCACCATTGGGTAACAACGATATTTTTCTATTCACTAAATACATTTCCCATAACGTATTCCCAACTCAACGACCTATCAACTAACCGACAGTCAAATTATTGGCCAAGGGAACGACAAGGAGTTTGTTAGTTGATGATATTACTTGCTTTCATTTATCATTGCTTACAAATTCATTGTGTTATATACATATATATTTTTTCTTGTTAACTAGTAATATTGTGCAAGAACAATATTATATTCCGAATAAATCTGTATCGCCGAGAAACGAGTTCGACAGAAAAACAAATTTCCCAATACCAGTCTCACACTTCCATGCAATTTACAATTAATTAGTTTTCATTCTAACTGTTATTCCATTTTCATTAACTTGCTGATCGCATCCATAATGAAGTAGAAAATATCTGAAAAAGATGGAATTTAATACTTTGCAAATGATTTGCATGCTAAAAATAAGCGAAATCAGTGTTCAAGAAGGTGCAGTTCAGATGAGATTGAGAAAACTCATCTCGGAAAAGGCTTTTGAAATAATCTCAAGAAATACTATTTATATTGCTGTCATTTCTGAATTTGTATTAATTTCAAAATTGTCCGTTGTTCAGTGGATGATTTATGAAATTAAAGTAATAAGTTTCATGCTAGATTGAGTAGATTGAAACTTAAAATCCAATTGAAGACATCGATTTGAATTGTTTAAAGTTTTCATCAAATTGCTTTGACTAATCTCCTTGCATTCACAAAATTATATTTGGGTGCAGTCGAAACGGGACAGAATTAAAATGGGCGGCAATAACGTAGTCAAATGTGCTTTATATTTCTTTCAGTATATATACATATCTGTATATGCTCAGCATCTATTTTTATGGATTTTCTAAACCTAAATAATTTGCATTTTCAAGTGGTATCGAAATATTTGCAGCAAAATTCTTGCAATTTATCAAAGTTATCTTACAAACTTAACTATGTAATCAATCAATTGCTCCTTTACTGAATATGACAAAATGATCAAAAATAGGCATGTTAAAAGTTCAAAAATGCTAATTTTATCAAATATAACAGAGACATAGCTTTAAAAAAAAGTTTCGAAGGAGTAGGAGGAATGAAAGAAGTGAGGAAGTATTAAACTGAAACATATGCTTTGGAAAGCAGTTCTACCAATTTTATGGGTGGTAATTCTTTCATTTTAAGTTGACTTTTGTATAATTCTTGATTTCATGTCATACTGGTTATATTGTATTTTACAGTTTTCGTGTACCTTGATTAATTAAACAAACAAAAGCCGTTTTTTGTTTCCTAAAATCAATCCTTTCTATCAGTTCAATCTATCAAAATACTTTTGACGATGGCTTTTCCACTTCAGTACTACACTTCTCTGAAGTGAATACTTATCGCTTATCAAAACTTGTCTGAAGACACAACACTTTAACGTGTCATTTTTATCAAGTGATGAATCATAGATCAATTTGTCATAATTTTTGTATTCATGTACTTTCATTACATTTCTATGCATTTACTTCAATTCAATTGCATGCTGTAAGGCTTTCCTGGAGAGAATAAACTGTAAAATACTATTTGTTTTTTGGTGTGCGCTAATCATAGCGTGCAATAATAGCCGCTGATCCTTCACGGATATTCCTCACGTTCAGATATGATATGGTTGTGATTTGAATTAACTGCATACTTGAAAAGGTCAAGGATGTTTATCTTTGATGATACACCGCAGAAATGTGGAAATATTTTTTGGTGATAGGTGAAAGATAAAACTGATGGGAAAGGCTGAAAGGGGAACAGCTGAAAACCAGTTCCCACTGGTACAGTTAACATCGGTGTTTATCATAGTAATAATTGGAAATCTCTACGATCGTGGCTAATTGCAAATAGATAACCATTTATAATGTTTTCAAATCAATGACAAAAGTGGTGAATCATTTGTCAGTGTTATCTTCTCTACTGATTGAATTCTAAAAGCTCTAAGTGTTGATTTCCCAAACTCTTCCAAAAAATTTCTTATTTTTTTTGAAAAACAAAATTGAATTCTTGGAATGATGAGAAAATTTTTGTGATTTTTGTATACTTATTGCTGCAATTTTTCAACTTTTAATCGTCCGTTTAGTAAGAGAAAAATTAAATTTTAATATGTCCTTTTTACAGGTGCTTGTATTCAATGGGAACAGCAGATTCTATCTAGAAAGACTATGTGAGATTGATGGATGCATTAGATCATCGTGATAATTTCAGATAATCGTTCTAAACAAAGTCCACTGCTTCTAGTGCATTTCTAGGCAGAATATTGGCAGAACACTGAATAATAATATCGAGAACTATACAGAGAAAATTGAGGAATCTCGAAAGTGCTATAAGATTTCCAATTTCAGAATGGAAAAATGAATGAGGCCGTGATCGGATTCATATCGTGCATCATATCGTGTATCGCTTTTGGCTTTATGTTTGCTCCGCTGCATAAGTTCGACAGCAAAGATGGTACCTTCAATATATTTTGTCATTGGGTCTGTAAACGTCCCACTTAATGTCATCAACAATACTTTCTTCATTTTCTCAACTCCAAAATTGCAGGATTATACGTGCAATGGATACAATGCGCCATTGTATTCCTCCTCGGCTTCATAATAAACATCGTAAGAGGCTTCCCGTCCTTCAATCCGATCGCTATGATTGGTGGTTTTCTGTTTGCAACAGTTAAATAACTTTACAATAAGAACTGATTTATAGTTATTTCAATCGGTTTTCACCAATAGAAAAGAGGACATTTTGGTGATAATTGCTGTCGTGGACTTCTTCAAGAACTTGTTATTCGTTTATTGGTAATGTTTGGGCAGAGTAGTAACGGTGGTAGGTCTGAAATCAAAGGAGCTTCTTTCAGTGTTTCAACGTTCAGATTTGTTTTCACTGTCGAAGTTTAATTTTAGGTAATATAGCATCAGTTCCACTCATCAATCACCTTGGCATCGGCGTTGCCATGTTGGTTTGGAGTTCTGTACAGGTAAGTATTTCCGTGCCAGTAAAAAAAAAGATCAGTGAGCAATCGAACCTTGATACCTTTCTTTCTTCTTTTTTAGCTTTCTCGATTTCGGCCTTCTAGTTCAGAAATAATATCTTACCTAATATTAGGTATTAGTTGGCTGGGGAGTAGCGCGATTCGGTTTTTTCGGTACACATCCGCAATTGGTTTACAATAATGCAATGAACGTCGTTGGACTGCTTTTCGTTCTACTCAGGTATCGCTTGTTTAGGTAAACAGTGAACTAATTACTTGAGAGTGACTACCTCAGCAATCAACTAATCTTCTTTTCGTTAGCCTCAAATTTCCATCAAAATGATAAAAAAGATAAATCTCCCGAATTGCTAGGGAAGTTTTTTTTTACTCTGCATCAGTGATTCAGTCATTTTATTCATCGGCAAAATAAGCAAAATCCAGGTAAATGAATCCAGCAAGTAAATCAGGAAAAGTCCAATCCAGTAATAAATCAGGAAAGGTTTGAGAATATTTTTTTAAAAATTTTGTTGCATCTGATGATGAGATACAAGTGCAAAATGCAGTTACCATAACTATGGATTCCAATTCCATTCTTCTGTTTGTAGTGGATTTATATTTGTTTTCGTGAAACATAAGAATCAGGAAGGATATCCTATCACAGAAGGTAATGTAATTTCAATGCAACAAGTAGGAGACACTTCGGCACAACAGCAAATTGACACTGCTCATACAACAAAAACAAAAGTAAGGTAAGGGTGTTCAAAATGAAATTGAAATATTCGTCATCAGTTTGTCGTGAAATTTTCTACCTTTACGATCATTCTCACTACTTAATTCATTGGCACTTCCTCAATATTGTTTTCCACTGTTCACAGATAATTGTTTTTGTTTCTCCCCTGATTCATACAATCGCATCGTTTTGAAGACCATATGATTGATAATTTGAAGAGTGTATGACTGATTAATTGGTAATAATACCACACACGTCAGGATTACCATCTGGTTCGATGACAAATTTACTTCCGTGAATTCTACCTTATAAAGGACTGTGACATTCTTAGTTTAGTATGATTAACTGAGCGTTATGTATAAATTTGCAGATATCTCGGGTTATCCGTACTTTTGGGAATTCTTCATGGTTTGATGATGACTCCTATTGTATATATTCAAGATAATGATTCAAATGCATCTCCTAATGGTAATTATTCTGTTCCAGTTGTGTGAATTTTGGATTACTTGTCACTGAAGAAGACTGAAATTCACTTTAGTTCTCTTAATTTTAGTCTTGGACTATGTTTTCCCACATTTCTGTGCAATATTTTCTTGTTCAACCGCATATTTCATTGCCTATTGCATATGGATGAGGGGTCGCATATATGCTCCAACAGAACTGGTAACTTTTTGACATATGACCATCACCAACATCTATTGCTAGGAATTTGAGTGAGCTGAATAGTTGGAATTTCATTGCCCACTGAAGCAATCAAGAATATTCCATTGTTGGAATCAGGAATGGCTGTCCTGTTCAATGAGAAGAATGATTTTAAAACTAAAAGATATCCTACCTACTCCCTTCTTCTTCAGCCTTATCCTATTCTCCTGTTTTGAAAAGTTCAAAAGGGTTTTCGAGTATTTAGATACTACCCTCAGCTGCTTATGGAGTATTATGGTGTACTGGAATGACACTGTGGTTTGTTTCAAATCGTATGCTATCACAAACTGTTAGCTTCCCAATCACTATGCGGGTTTGTTTCATTTCATTTCATGCGATATCATAAAACATACAGGTCCGATTATTGGGAAATAAAACTAGCTATTAATTGGCCAAATATTTTGAACATTTCAGCTGCCATCAACAATTGGAATTCTAGCGGATGTGCTGCTTTTTAAAGATATCAAAGTGAGCCAATTTTATTGAAGTTTCATCAGAATTTAATATGGTCGGAAATACTTATAAATTAAAACTGGATATTGGATCAAAAGAAATAAGTACCTATAATCACTGCCTTTTTCAGGGCAAAAAAAATTTGACGGTCACATTTTCGGCAGTTGCTATTGGTTTAATCGGTATACTGCTAATCGCATTTTCAAATCAGTAAACTATGAATTTCAAGAAATGAAGAAAAGTTACTTACGGGATGTTGCGCATTAGACTGCCAGACTGCAAAACTTTTTTTTGCTTCTTTAATTTGTTTATGCGAAGATGTAGTTAAAGGCAATGCAAAAAATACCTGAATAACAAAAGTGACAAATACAGCTCCTAAAAATTCATAGATTCGTGAAATATAATTATCATTTCGTCTTTCTTTTTTTTCGCAAAGGAACAGTTCAAATGAGATTGAATCGAATGATAGGACGAATTTGAAATCTAAAATAATGCTTCGAAATCCCCTCGCAAACTTTGGAAATCCTAAAACAATGAGATAGTATAATTGAAAAAAAAATTTAACAATTTTCCCGGGAAGAAGCTCATCGTGGATGAATTGCTTATCAAGTTTGATAAAATCACCTGTTTGTTTCGAATCCTTACAACGATCCGATATATATATAAAGGTAAGAGGAGCAAAGAAATTCAAAAACCCCAAAACCGCTTTGATAAGAGTTCCTTATTCAATTTAGCATTTCTTTCATGGATGAACAGAATATAAAGAGGAGCACTAAACTTTTCTGGGTCAATATATACATATATATAATAATTCTCATTACTTAGCTATTATATTGTTGCCTGAAATCAGTTGCATGTATGCTTAGAATGAGGGACCACAAAATCTGATAATGCACAAGCAAATACTACTCTACTTATGTGTCCAAGAGATCAGAACTCCAGTTTTTCGTGTTTCTTGCTACTTTTTGTGAATCACTGAGTGGATAAATTACAAACATAGAAATCTCGTAAGACCAAAGTGTAGGTAATATTAGCACTTGTGATTATCAATAATCAGTCGAGGAACCAAATCAAATCCTTCCTTTTCTTCATCGTGTCAAATTTTTTAAGCAACATGCGGAAGATTAGACCTATTTCTCAGTGAATACTTCATCTGTAGAGAAATATCTGTAGGAAAACGAAAGAAAAATATTTCTATCAATTATCTACAATGCAGGTAAAACTTTTGAATAAAAATGAGCATTTCCAATCCTTGCTTCTTCATGTGTTGGAATTTTGTACTTTGGACTCCTGTATGTTCTAGCTATAAATATATCCATCCATTAGATATATTCGCTTGGAGTGATACAGTTTAACTTATAAGCAGCAATGAGCACTGTCCAAATTTAATCTTTTCCCAAGGAAACTAAATGATAAAGATAGTCAACCACTTCTTTCTTATCTTCTCCATAATTTACTAACTGCTTAAATAATAAGAGTTAGAGCATAAGAGTATGCTCTGCAAAGCTCGCTGTAATTTGATGTGTGACAAAACAGCCGACTAATTTAAACAATTAAATGATTAAGGATACATTATGATGGAATCAATCATTTAATGCTAGCCAGTGATTAAAAGACTTGGTGATATTATGGATCACTGGCATTGGATAACAGGGTCTTTGACTTCTGGTTTCTGCATAGTTTTTAAATAATTTACGTGACCGTGATTCATAAGTGATTTTCTGAGTAAGGTTTAATTAAATTTTTAGCAAGCAATTCCATTTTGATTAGGACTCAGAGTTTTTAAATGTTTTTATTCCTGCTATTCATGAAATCCACGCGACTACAACGGTAAAATGACAAATATGCTTCTAGATCATAATCGAGAAAAATATAAATTAAAGCGGAAATTCTGCACTCCTTTGTGTTAGTACTACTCAATTAATCGTGCATTTGAGCATTTCTTACTTCTCGTATTTTACTCAGTTTAAATAGGGTGTAAAAAAAGGAAACAGCTTTAGAATTTTCATAAAGGACGTTTACAGATCAATACATATTTCACATCAATTCGAAATATACATGAAAAGACTGATATGAACCAATCATTATATCATTTGCTGAACTTTGCAGCTACATCAAACTTTAACGCAAAACTTGTTGATGCTTCTTTCTTCGGCTCGACTTTTAGCTCTTTGTACAACTTCGCGTTTTGCATCTAGAAATTAAAAAAAAACTGTTTAATATCGTCACAGTACTTCGCAGTTCTTCGTCACCGTCCCTAAACGTAGCAATAACTTTGTCCATGTGAGTTGTGGATCGTAAATCAAACGGAATGTTTGAGCGAGACAATAAAGCAACACTTGTAATATATCTCGTAAAGAAATCACTTAAGAAAAGCACTAACTTCTTTAGATGAAGATTTTGTAATCGGTGTCTTTACGATCGATTTACCCAATTCACTTTTTGCTGGCCATGTTGGGAACATTTCCGGCGGTGTGGGTGGTGGATAACGCTCAAACCAATCATGAGCCAAAGCTTCATGAGCAGAAATTCGTTTAGTTGGGTTATAGGTCAGTAATCTGAAATAAAAGATCTTCAAAATGATCCTTCATTTTGTATCAGATTTTTGAATATTATCCAGATGAATTAAAAAAACCACGATCAGTTTAAATTTTGAACATACATACTCTTTAATGAATTCTAATCCTCTCTCATCGACCAAACTTGTCGGAAATTTCTTCTCTAATTCTCCTGAATGGTGATGCTCAAAAGTCGTTTTTCTTGGACCGGGAAGGCTGCTATATCCAGGCCAGAGTTTATCATCCGGAGTCCCGAGATCCTGAATTTTGTGTTAGATGAATATTTCTGATAGTAATACAGCACGTTAGTTGTTTTATTTCAGCACTGAACTTCAAAATACAATCTACAAGCTGCAATCTTTCTGGTAATATATTTCATTATTGTGGGATACAGAAGTCCGAGATATATGTTGTTGAGTGATTTTCCATCATGATATTGCAGTACTTCAAAAAATAGTAAGAAATATAATTCAGATGTGTTGTTAGTTGAAGAAACGTAAGCGCGAGTCATGGGGAAGATACTTTCCAGGATGGCGATAAAAAACCTGATGGACTGTCCAAAAATTATTCAAATCAGATGCCCAAATGCTTTTAAGACCGAAGTGTCTGAGAGGGAAAACACATTGTAATACATATAGAAAATCTGACGATCACTTCGCATCATAGTATATTATAGACATATCAAAATCAACTTACAGTGAAGATTTTATTAATTTGATCCATTTCACCCTTTCCAGGAAACAATGGTTTTAATTTTAGGAATTCAGCAAAAATACAACCGCAAGACCACATATCGACAGCTGTTGAATACTCCTGCAAGTAGCTCCTTCAAAAGACAATGCAAAGAAAAACCAACCAAAAGAAGGAATGTAACTTGTTAACCAGAAAAAAATGGACAAAAAAAGATATACCTTAACACCCAGCAATAATTCCGGAGCTCTATACCACAGTGTAACAACAATCGGTGTATACGGTTTCAAAGGATCCCCAAATTCTCGTGACAAGCCAAAATCGCCGATCTAAAACCAACAACCATATCTGGCAAAATTATTTTAAATTTCGAAGAGGGATTTTAAGACTTATGAGCTTATGAGAACACAGTGTAGAGATGAACTTCTGAACAAATACCTTTAGGATTCCTTTATGTGACAAAAGAAGGTTTGATGTTTTTAAATCTCGATGCAAAATCCATTCATCATGCATGTGTGCAACACCGGAAAGCAGTTGATGAAGTAAAGTTTTCACTTCGCCTACAAAATTCAAATTTGTAGTAGGATGTAAAAAAAAAGGACAGAATAATTGCTGTGAGATGCTCCGGGTAGTTATCAGTTGATAAGATTAAGACTCAAGTGAGCTAAAAGCTATACCGACATCATATCAACCAAACTGAAGTTGCTTGACAAAAAAACATGGATATTCCTTCTATTTGATGAAAAAGAGTTTTTTAAAGCAAACACCGGTTACTGACTCTCCAAATATATCAAAAAAAAAAAAAAGCTTCAGGAATAATGCCAATCTAAGAAATTACCTGTCCTGAAACGCTTTCCACGCGAGTGCATAGTGTCCATGAGGCTTTTCATATCATGTTCAACATATTCCATGACCAAGTAAATTTTGTCCATATTCGAACCAATCACTATTTCCTGCAGCAGTCAAAATACAACAAAATTCAAAGCCAGATACTTCCGCAGAAAGTCTAAAAGCTTAATACTAAGGTAATAAAGTTTTTAAAGTTTAACAGCTTATATTTGACTTACTCGAACATTAACAATGTTTGGATGATTGCCAGCTTTCAGAAGCATGTTAATTTCACGAAGCGATGTAATTGGGAAGCCTTCCTTTTCTTTTTCCATCTTTAAACGCTTTAGTGCAACTATTTCATCTAAACGTGAAGGATGAAACAAATTCATGACAATTACAATTTGATAACTATATGGTCATCATAAGACATCCGAAAATTTAAAAAATAAGCTAACAAGAGATAAAATATCAGTGTCGAGATGACCTGTTTTTTTCTCCTTAGCACGATAAACAACACCAAAAGTGCCTTCTTCAATGCGGTTCAAACATTCAAATTCTGCAACGTTTCGGCATCCACTAATACCAGGATAATAAACAGGCAACCTAGCTATTAGCCTCTTTTGCTGCTCCTCTTCGAGTCTAAAATACAATGAACTAAAATACCAATTTTTCAAGTTTGGAAAAATGTGAAACAATGAATTGCGTAAATGTGTCTAAATGAATAAAAACACATTAACCTGGTTCGTGTTTCTGGCGACAAACTTGCCATCCGTTCCTCATCAAAATCGAGCAAATCCATGCTATCCTCATCCAAATCACGTAAAATTACGTCACTTTGCGCATCTTAATCAGTTATTTGTAAAAATTATGTTTACTAATAGTTTATTAATGTCGACAGCTTTTATAACAAACAATATTTTTATGTGACGCATATAAATTGGAATACCCGAAGCACTATCCACAACCATTTCTGTCTTGTCGTTTACACCAGAATGTTTGGCTTCGTCCTTTTCTTCTTGCTCATCTTCTGGATCACTATCGAACTTTGAGTACTTTGATGGACCCATTGGCGTAGCTAGATAAAATGAGTGAGACCCAAGTAATATTTCATGTTCAAATAGAAGGAAAAAATGAGTCAGGAAAAATTTGAATTTCTAAACTGGAAAAAACCTTTTTGTGAAACCGATGGTTGCTCATCATCCATTTCATCTGTACTAGTCGCTTGATCAAACTTATTACTGTGTATTTCAGCATATACCTCAGGTACTGTCTTTTCTGTTTTCCCTGCATTGTCATTCGCGTTTGTTACTGTCACATCTAAATAATTATCTGATATTACAACGAAACTTTCAAATCCAGTAAATTCTTATAACTGCTTTGAAAATTTTAAATTTTAAACAATTCAAAAAAAAAACGAATCCATACCGGTTCCATCAACTTTTTCCATATGCATTTTTTTTGATGATACTTCTCCTTCTAAAGCAACACCAGCTCGTTTGGGACTTGTGTTACCTTCACGTTTACGTGGAGACCGACTAAAAACGACATATGCAATATAAAAAAAAGCACCTTTTATTTAAAATAGCCATCTAGTTACTTAAAAGTTAGAAATACACAAAACTTTTTCCTGAAGATGCAACTTGACGGTACAATTAATACGATGGATCAACTTTTGAACAATCGTCATGACCTTCTGTCATTCATCGCACCATTGTCAAACTGTTTTTTAGCTATTCATTTCATCCTTTCCTTCCATTGCATGCTTCCTTATACAAAACATTTTGGAAACTTAAACCCGACATTTCCAGGGAGAAGGGCAGACGATATCGGAACTTTCGCTCCAGTTATGGAAACCTATAATTATGATAATCAAAAAGGAAATGAAGCGAGGAATAAAAATAACTTAACCCTTTACTTGCATCTTTTGCATGATGTAATCGTTCTGCTTTGAGTTCACCGTGATTTTCACGTTCTTTGTAAGACATTTTTACAGATGAAGGTTTCTGTGTCAATTTTGAATCGGGTAAAACTACACGCCCAGCAAGCCGTGATTCATGTTCCCGCGACTGTTGATGTTTGCCAGAGATGTGACGTTTATGGGTCTAAAATAGTAAATTTGTTGGAGAGTGTATATTTTGGAAATAAAATGAATGATTTTGGAATTGTGAATAACGCACTTCTTTTTTTCTTTTAAACAGTAGGCGGTAGATCTTTAGAGGAGGAAAGATTACCTCTCGAGAATCATAATCTCTGTTGGAATAATCACCATGAGTGTGCTTGTCATGTTTTCGTTCCTTGTGCCAGTGTTTCTCATCTCTCGTTTTTTCCGGCTTTCTGATCTTATCACTGAGTCCTCCGCGTTCACGTTCCCTATACTCATGAGGACGGGCGGAATGACTGCGCTGCTTTACAGCCTATGAAGAAGATCAAGGTAAGAAAATATAAGAAAAACAATATGTAGTAGCTAGGATATACTATTTCTTAGAAAATTAATAGTAAATTCAATATTCGGAGAGAGTAGAACTTGGATAACTTGTTAACTGCTAAACAAAACAGGCTGTGTAGATCCCCACTAACTGTACTGGATTCTTTAAAAACAAGAAGAAAATCTTAGCTGTTCACCAAAAAATAAACAAATAAATAAATAAACAAATATATATATATATATATGTACATATATGTAATGAAGAAATGCAAAGATTATTTAGGGAATATAAAATGAACACAAACAAAGCGAAGAATATCATATTTGAAATTAACATGAACAAAGTCAACCAAAAATGGAAGACTACCCTCAACTCTATTGTATCGTGCATTATTTGTTACTGCATACTTTACGACGTACCGGTTCTTTAGGCTGTATGGAAAACATCTCTTCATCATCACTGGAGCCATTTATATTGGGCGTTAGTTTCAATGACTTTTTCGTTTTAGGAGATATCGATCGTATTTTTGACTTCGATTTCTTATCGATATTGGTAATCGTGACGGAAACCGATGATGTACTACCACGCTCTACTTCGATAACTTCACGCTTCAATGCTGAAGAACTGTTCAGCACACTACGCCTTTCTAGCAGCTTTTGGCGTAATCGAGCTTCTTCACCTTCTAGGAGAGAAAGGAGAACTCAGCAAAGGCAGTTTCTATCAATGAAGTCTTTAGATGATTTTCAAGCAATATTCTTCAGTAACAGAAAAATCAAATCCGAAGATGTATTACACTGCATTACACATACCAATAGGTAATCATGCCAGTTTTGCAGTGGTTCTAGACATGACCTCGAAAGAGGGACGAATAGAAGTGAAAAGCAAAACTTCACATTAATAAACTGATGACAATAAACTGACCAACATCACTCGATGAAGCTGATGAATTTTCCTGACATCTTTTTCCCACTTTTATATTATGACCATTCGGATCCGAACTATTGCAAGAAACAGGTGGCCGTTCGATAGAAGTGCTGCCTTCTGAAAATCCACGTGACACTGAACACTGCTCGACCTAATGCTTATGTTATTTGTCTTGAGGTTATCTTTGCAGTTCTCGCATTTAAAGGAAAAAATGCTTGTTTAAAAAATGATAATAGCGCGAACGAAACTTAACAAGAAGAAGTGAAAAGTGAGGCATAGTGTGCCATGTTGCGGTCCGCACAATCGAAAAGCAAAATATCAATGACCTGAACTTCACCCTGATGTACACATAAAGCGACTACCTGAGCTCTTCCTATCATCATCGATTGCACCTTCCTCTCTATCAGTATCTGTATATTGTCCATCATCTGATGGCGAATTCATTTTTGCCTAAAACTGCATGGATTTTTTCAGTCACATAATTGATTATCTGGGGGTGATAATCTTTTTAGTGGCCAGCACTGGAAGAATACCTATTCTCATGGCCAAGGGGTATCCTACCACTGTTAGCCACTAAAAATTGATTAGAGTATATACTTATTAATTAAAGTATGCCTTGCTCAGGACCTATTTATTTAAGTTCAAGTGAAGAACTACAAGCAAAACTTATATCCCAAATCCTATCATCATCGATAGCACTTCCTTTCTAACTGGTAATCATTCCAAAAGAATGTGCTTGTGTACCTGTACAGTGCCCAACAAGTTTTCTTTAAAATTTATTTCATATTCATTTAAGCGCGTAGAAATTTTGATTCATTTCACTGTTTCAAAAATGAGAACTTGGTACGAAATAAGATTCTCCCAATGCAAATCATTGAACAGTGATTTAAAATCCATGCCACTGTATTTAATATATGATGAATGACTGTAACACTATCCCTGAACTAGTGATTTGAAACAATCTAGCATATTTTAAAGATCCCGAGAAGTTTTAGAAAAAAAACAGTTCTCCCATCCCCATACCTGCACCGAAATGACGAAAACCACGGTGCATAACTTTGACTGTACCGCGATGAAAATAACATTGGTTGCCTCCTTGTTGCATTCCCATAGGTTGTGGCGTTTGTTTACCGCACACTAAGTTTTGATCGGAATGTTCTTTATGACTGTAACACATAATTCACGGTGAATTTATTTCGACATTTTCTCAGTAAATGTCATCCTTCGATGTATTGCGGACAAATAAAGTGCTAGTGGTTTGTACTGTTCATTTAATATACAATTCTGTTGCAGATGAAAAACAAGAATGCTAGAAGGAATTCATACCTCATTTGGTGTAAAATCACAGTTTTGATTTAGCTCAACACCCTTTTGTCTTTTAGCACTGCCTTACTCGGTGTGCAGTACAACACTTCCCTTAACAGTAGCACTGCAATAGCTGTGTTACATTTTGGAAGAAAAGTTCTTTGTCCTGAAGAAAATTGCTTCCAATTTTCTGAAATCAGGATGATCAGACACCATGACTTCATTTTAGATGTAAAATGGAAGCTTTCAGGTTTATTTCAGTTTTCAAAGTGATCGGATCATGCGCTGCGGCACTGGTCATCGTCGCTCAGCGAAACGTCTTTTGAAGCTTGTTGTCATGGTTTTGCAATTCAGCGAGTTGCGGCGGGGAGTTGTGGTAGATCTTTTTGGGGAGGAGATTTGACTCCAGTGTAGGGTACGTTCCGTACGGGAATGTGAGTTGACAGTCTCATGTTGACAAGCTTGGACGATGCAGACCGATCATTTTATCGAGTGGTTTTGCTGAGATTATTCTCCCCACGGTTGTGTTCATTCTTTTGCAGATTGCTCATAGTGAACGGATATTGGTGATATCCTGCGCACCCACTGCTACCAATAATTTTGTGTCATATATTTGACTTTTTTCAGAATCTTTCGTGAGAACTAATTAACATGATGGCATCGGAAATGGCATCTGTCAACTGTAAAAATGAAGGGATAATAAACGAGTCAAAAAACAGCAATATAGCCGTAGTAAGCGTGCGTTTTTATCCTATAACTAGATGAATTATTTTATCATATTTCTTGATGGGTAGAATTATTCCACAGAGAGTGAAACTATTGTCTATGGACTTTTTAATTTTGCTAATATTATGGGATTGTAGCTAAAATTTTTTGCGTTTAAATATACACGCATTTTCTACTGCTATTCTATCACCCACTGTAAGATCCAGTGTAAGATGGAAATATAAAATACATGCAGTGGATGTATATGCAGCCAACTCATCTTATGCAAAACATTTTCACATCTCGCTTGAGAATATTTAACTGATATTTAGTAGACAAGGGTCAGCTAGTTTTGCTCAGAGTTTGACAATTCAGATGCTGTATATATGTACTGAAATATATATTAAAAAATAGCATATTTAGTGGCCTTGCACAGATTTATGAAGGGAACTTTTTTATCAGTGATAATTTTTAGAGTATATATTACTTTAGTTAAAGGAGGAAAACAGTGAATCTGTGGAATATGTGGTTGTATCAGAAACAGAGGATAGCGAACGCTTAGAGCTTCCTTTGCTGCCAGAAGATTGTTCCCTGAGTTTAAACACTTTAGTTCATGCATTCCCCGGTGCCCATGGATTAAAATACAAAAACTCTATCACAGGAGCAAGTCGAGCTTTACTGTAAGTTTATATTTCAACGTTTTTTTTTCGGGATACTTCGTTATCCCTGTTGTGATTAGCCTTAATGAATTTCTTTGAAGCACTTCGTTTACCTCGATACTTTATTCGCCGTATGGCTCGTTTAGATTTGAAAAAAAAAAAAAAGGAAAAAAAAACTTTGTTGTTCACTGGAACATGACTGGAAAACTTTTTCTTTTTTTTCACTGAAAAACTTTTCATTTCAAAGCCTTGCTTGTCTCCAACTGAATGGTTTATAGCTGGCATCCGTGATAGATCCTCAAAATAAAATTGTTCTGTGCTATTGTTTAAACATTAAAACATAGAGTTCAGTTGAATGGTTAAGAATTTTTTCAAGTCAAAGATGAAGCGCGACCTCATAATATGGATTTTCTAGCTCTTCGTTAACGTCTTGTTTGGATTCTTTTACAGGATGGATCCACAAGGAACTCGGTTTCTTGCACCTCCCGATGGTTGGAAGAATAAGACATTCATTGTCATTTATCCTCACCGTGGGTCAGGTATGTGTTTAGTATTGCATTGAGTTTGTAACATCGTTTTTTGAAGATTTTTAGTTATATGATGTTATATGATGTCAGAGTTAGTGAGTTCGATATTTTTCTCAAGAGAAAAAGAAATCAGGTGATTATTAGTGAATGCTGATGAAGAGATCACTGTTCTTCGTTTGTCAAAGGATATATGCGAAATGATAAAAGTGATTTTGTATCGCTAGATAGTGGTTTTGTACCGCTAGATGGAATTGCTGTGGTTTGATATCAGCTCGTGATTTTGGAAGCGATGACGTTGGAAGTGAAGGTGAAATGGCCTAAGCGCTATGAGTGATGACTTTAAATGCAGAGTGTTTACTTGATAGTGTACGATGTAACAAGTGACTCTTATTATATGCAGAAATTGCGCCTGCAAATGATGCTGGAGAATTATTTTAAATTTAGTGATGAAAGATGTATCAAGTTCAGGTGCTTAATTTAGTTCTGTAGGAAATATCATGTTGGAGCTTTTACCAAGAACAGGTTGAGCATTGCGGAGGAAAATTAGTTATAGGGTAGTGAAATTTGCAGAAAACCGTATTTTGAATACACTGTGCAAGCAGTGATCGTATGGTTGCAGTTTTAATAGTAAGTTTATCGAAAAAAATCGAAAAATGAGATCCTTGAATTAAAGAAATATGTTGAATTGATAGGTTTCATATGTGGGAAAGGAAGGGGGTGAGTGTGTTACCGTTCATCGTCTAAACAATCAGTGTGTGGTGTGCAGGTGATCAGAACACGAAGCGCAAGAAGATGATGGATGAGTGTGAGCAAGAGGGCGATTCCGAAGATTCGCAAGGGGGACGCGGGGGACAGTTTACCGCTAAGCAAAAGCGTATCGAGGATCCAAGTGGCGAGAAAGCGTGTATTGATTTGATTGTCCTCGGATTGCCATTCAAAACATCTGCTGAAACATGCAAGGCATATTTCGAAAATTTCGGCGAAGTCGTCCTTTTTGATGTAAGCTAATGCTACTTTTAACAAGAAATGCATCCTTGCCTTGGGACTTTTTTCTTTCTCTGTTTATCATCAATACTCCATACATGTTCGAAATGAAGAGTTTGATAGGGTTTTTCGAGTTGCGAAATGATGTTAACTGTCTTGAATTTGTGTAAAAAAACGGTTAGTTGTGAACATTTTCTAGTTTCTTTGAGATTTGCGAGGTGGTTGAGTTTTGAGTCTGTTTTTCGGATTTCACGGGGTATGCTCGTTTTCTTTTTCTGCTTTCCCTAGAATTTCGTAAACTTTAGGAAGTATTCAGTTTACCATGAAAAATTTGTAGTTAAAAACTGACCCCAATGGTGCATCAAAAGGTTTCGGATTTGTGCGAATGGCTGATTTTGATGCTCAACAGCGCATCCTCACGCAGCAGACTCATGAGATTGATGGACGTCGATGTCAAGTGAGGATTCCTCTCTCAAAGGTAATTCTTCTTTGTAATACATTTAAACTTTTCTGAGTTCATATGTGCTCACTTCGTGTAAAAGATTCCTTACTCTCTCAAAAATTAGTTTCATTCGGCGTTGATCTGGTCAATGTAAGCTCTCTAGTTGGAATGTTGGGTAGGAAATCAGTAAGTCTTTAAGAAGCTTTTCCTTAGATCGTTGATCCTATTCACATTTCCTCATCATTACTGATCAAAGCTCTAAACGTATACAGGATTGATTTCCGTGATGATTTTAGAATAAAAAAAATTGAAATTATAGGGAGATACAGGATCACCAGTAGTAACTCGCATATTTGTGGGTCGCGTACAGGAAAAAACCACCGTCGATACGCTCCGAAAATTCTTCAATGGAGAGGCTGCTAAAATTGATCCAAATGCATTTGTAAGTTGCCTTGTGGATGACTTTTACGTTGTCAGTAGGTGTTGGATCTTCCACTATTTCCTCCCTCTTTATTCTACTTTATATATCGACAAACTATAGAAGTTCTCGCTTTATGTTTGATTTTTTAAAGGTAACAGATGTTTTCATTCCACGACCATTCCGATCATTCGCATTTGTCAATTTTTCAAGTCCTGCTGTAGCCAAAGAACTGATGAGGTGAGTACAGAAATAATAGCAGTAAAATTTTTCCACTGCATTGTATTTTTGCTGCGTTTATTATTATCTGAATTTGCATAATTTAAAGTCGTCGGTAGTGACAACTGCTATTTGAAGGGTAATTACCCGCAAAACATCTATTTACCACATACAGATTAAGCATGATTTTTCAGTCTTGCCCATAAAATATATTAATGACTTGATCTCTGCTTAAATATTGTCTGGAAAAACTTTGTTACTTCTAGCATCCATACTTAAATCAACTTTAAGGCAGGGAGACTTCATCATTGATGGCTCATCGGTAGCAGTAAGTGCAGCTGCACCTCGTGAATCAGACTTTTCTCCACGATACGGTCAAAGTGCTTCGTATGGATTACCAAGTCAAGGGCGCCATTCGCGCAGATTTTCCGACAAATATGGCTATTCTCCGGAAACTGTTAGCTTCAAAAGTCCCGATTACGTTAGTGAATACTTTTTGTCGGAAATAGAACTGCGACAGTAAATCAGCTTTTTTTTTTCATTTCACGTATTTTCTACTTAAAAGTGATGAATTGTTTTAGACGTCGTATCCGTACGACCCTATGGTATCTCGTTCAGTGGATAATTGGCGTGCTAGCACCTATCGTTCATCGGATACGCGCGCATCGAATCGTTTTTCACCTGGTTATTCCAATTCTCCTCGCTATTCGACACCAGCGCGTTCAGGTACAAGCCAGGCATTAGCATCTGGGCTGGATGCGCTGAATTTGAACAAGATGAATGTGAATCCGGATATGATGGATGCCGCGTGGCAGGCTTTTTGGAGTACTCTGAGCAATAACAGCAATAATGCTGGCACTGGCACATCTTCTACTACCAATTCCAATGGGAAATGGTAAAACTAAAACGCAAAATTTGCAGATCTTGTCCGATTTGCTTTGCGTTCAGTCGAACTATTTTTTCAAGCAAAAAGTTCAACTTATCGCTTCCTTAACTTTTAAAATGCTGAAATGAATTTGCAGTGTTTGTTATAAAGGAGAATGTCGCCCATCACTCTCGGAATATATTTTTTCCATCTTTAGAAGCAAGATGAGTGAAATCTATAAAAGGCGTAACTTCGACAACCTTGAACAAACTGTTGAAATACTTCTTGAAATTTAGATTGTGGGTTGTAGTTCATGGTCCTAAAATGTCTTCATTCAAATTGGTAGTATTTCTCTTCCGCTAAATCCTAGGCTTACTGCTTGTTTCTTTATTAGTTAGTATATAGATATTTATGTATCATTCCTTTATTTTCACTCTTCTTTGACCGCTTCTTGAAAAAAAAGAACCTAAGACCTTTTGGATATTTTCGGTAACAAGTTTCTACAGTAATTTTATATTATCGCGATAAAAGAGAAGGAGAAGGAAGTATTTCCTTCCTTTTTTTCCGCAGAAATTAAGGTTTCTCATCCGGTCCCGGGGAAGTTTTTTTCTTATTTCATCGGTTTAAAGTGTAGGCAGTTCAGCGCTGATTTGCTTGTTATTTCGTTTTTTAATTTTCTTTGTGAAATTTTTTACGGCCTGAATATATATATATTTCGATTAAAATTTAGACGAAAAAAACAAAACGCAGAGCAACATGTTATGTTAAAACAGTTAATATGCAAAATGTGTGGGGAACATACAGTGAAAGGTAAGAAGTCGAAATAACTGGAGTTCTTTAAAACTTTTTCAAGGAGTCAAGAGCTGGGCAACTTTTGTCTTTGTTTTCATTTCATGTCGTTTGCATAGTGATTTGTGCTTGTGCTCTGGAACCCATTGTTTAGCAGAAAGTAGTGCAATCGCATCGACACTGACATGACTGATTTTCAGGATGTTTGTGAATCAGTTTAAACGGATAACTGGTGTCAGGGCACTGTGATTTGCCACAATCACATTCGCATTCCGGGCAATCTAAAAATAAAGTACTGCTTTGCAGAAAACTGATTTGTGATTTGGGCGGCAACTGATACTTTCCCGCCATTTTATAGCATTGATGTTTTTAGATCCGTGCATAACGAGAGCTATGCATAAATGATTCATCCTGCTTATATAGAGATATGTTTCAGTAGCAATCGTGTTTTAGTTGCTAAATGATCCAGTCTTTGAGGATTATTTGTATCCCACTACCTATTTATCACTGATCATGTTAACTTCAATTAAGCATAGCTAATTATGATGGTGTCCATTATTTCCATTGTGGTCGTGTTGCATTAGTACCAAATGTCGATATTCGATTTCTGGGGGGGCGAAATGGAATCAAAATAGATCTTGATTAAATGAGATTCACTTATGCATAAAACATTGTGACAACTCCAAAATTAGTGGAGGGTAAACCTTGCGATCTTTGTGACTTTCCCACGCTTGGACTAAAAGGGCAAATTTCCATCTTCCAGATCATGTCGAATAATTTATTATTAGCATTGTATTGATGCCAGCACTGCAACCCTCTGTAAACCAAATCGCTGGCTATTTCATGTTCGAAATTTTCATTCGGTTGATTAAGGCGATCATTTATGCAAGCATTTTCATCTATACTTATGTTCTTTGATGTACAGCATATTGGATCCCATCTGAAAAAGAAAGTGATGCTAAAATGAATTTCGTAGTTGGAATGGTTAATGGTAAGATAGCGGGAAAGAGGAATCATCGATTTTTGACGATATAGAAAATTGGATTCTCTAAATTTCATTTCTAATGGGGTGTAGGATGCACTAAGGCGTGGAAATTTTATTATTCCAAAGTAGGAAGAATAAATTTATTTTAGTTACGAACTTCCAGGGAATCATCTCGGAAACTATAATAAGAATTTAAGAAATGGTGAGGAGTTGAGAGACATCCATTTTTTATGCTCATTTGCAAGGTTTATTCGTTTTTCTTCTTTTGTATGACAGAGATCTAAAAAGTTCGTTGCGATGCCTTTGCTCAACACTTAGACTGATTTTGAATAAGTTAGGAAGAGTCAATGGATTCTGAAGATGTGATGCGGCTCATTTTAATTATGTCCCATCACTTTGTATCTAAGAATTTGATTTTGATTTCTCACATGTTTCATGCAAGGAAATGATAACTTACAGCGTAACTTTTGTGGAATTTTCAATAACATAGAGATTGAAGCCTGCAAGCCACATCTGCCCGGAACAACCTTCCGGTATGCCGGAGCACTGAGGTACACTTTGTAGTCGAGTACATTTAACCTTCAATGAACTGTTCAAGGCAAGTAAAATCCAGTAGGTAAACAGGTTTGTCTAATTTATCTACTTTTATGAACATAACGAATTCAGAAGATTGGAAGTCCTGCCATGACGTCACATCATAGTGTAAAGGGTGCCAAGGTATCGTGTATCACAAGGCCTAAATCAATAAGAGCATGTTGACTTCCAGAGGATCATACTCGACTAATCCATCCCAAGTTGATGACAAGAAATTTATTTCGGGATTTTTCCCACTGATAGTTCACCTAGCTTTGTGAATAACGGGGTCATGCTGTAGAAAAAATCGAAATAGGTGATCTTCCGCATAAAAACTATGTTCAGGACTTCATGTCCCCATCCATCTTATTCCGATCCAACAGCATTTTGAAATGAAAACAAAAAAAAAAACGAATTTAAAAAAAATGCAAAAGTACCAATTGTATATTTCGTTCAACAAGCTCACACTGTGTTAGCAATGAGCCCAATTTCCCATTGTGTTTGGGAGACCGTTGTATTTTCGATATTCTGTAGCCTGGTTTACATGTTAATGAATAGTCGATCGCAGCAAAAGTAAAAGTATTGATAGAGTTCCCAATAATGTACCACAACAAGAACCAGTGATGGTCAATATACATCGCCATGAAAAACATGACATTGATGACCACAGATGATACATTGATGGTCATCATTTTCATCTTCTTCCCTGCACTACTTAAGGAGCTGAAGGAAGATGAAAATATATGCACAGATACAATCCACTAGTCAATTATCGGTCGCCCCCCACGTCAATCATCCTTCTTCACAACTCGTCTTTTCATTCACATCATTTAACAATACTGCTCCTAATAACTTCACTTGGTCGTTAACACTTGTGTCGCAAAGTCCACTCCAAACACTAAATTAATTAATTACAAACTGGGTCAGTCCAAGTCCTTTTTATGCCAGCTGACGGAGTCGCACGAAAAAAGAAGGGGTAAGAAATGAACCACAATTTTTTTTTTTCTTTCTTACATCTGAAGGAACTTTCACTTCTTGATACTCGAAGCAAAAATGTTCAGCAACTTTCGGGATGTACTGTATCTGACAGACTATAATAAACTTGAGACCTCAGGAATCGATCTCAGAAGCCACTAACAAATAGGGAAACTATCCAACAGGCATAATGGCATCATGACAAATATCCTGCTGAATCAATAATTCATGCGTGTCAGCTTCAATCTTGCTTATTATGAGGATGACTATTAGTATCTACCTACTGCCAGTTCTTTGGAATTCCTACTCCCGTTTCTATTAAAGCAAGACTTAAGAAAATTTGTTGATTCACCGTTCCAAATTGGCATTTATCTCCTAAGTTCATTTACATTGCGAAGACATATTTAAGACAATACCTGCAAGGAATTATGAGAACAAGTAAATTATCAACAAGGAGGGAAGAAATGAAAAACTATTTCATCGTGTCACACTTTAAAGACAACATCCCACTGAAGCATTTATTTGATATCACAAGAACCTTGTCCATTATAGACCAAACTTCTTAGAAGAAAAAAGCCAATTCTGTTTTAAATCACTTCACTGTTCAAATCTATCACAGTAATAAAAATCAAACTGAAATTCAAAAAAATAAATGCCAGTAAAAAACCTACTTCATCTTGACAAATCAGCAAAAAATATGGCACAAAATCGTGTTCTAAGGAAACCAACTCAGTACGACCGTCAAACAAGCCTCGCTTGTCAGACTAGTTCATATTTTAATGCGTTTATATTCCCAAAAGAGAATTTATTATAAAAGTACATAGTGAATAGCAAATTAAACTTTAGGTTTCTGATCGAGGAAGACCACACATTGAACAATCTGTCCGTCCCACTAAATTTTCAAACGTACAATGTTTGCAAGACCACTTATTGCTTGATTCGGTGGTCGATGACTCTAAAAGACATTAATATTACAATAATCTATCCCATTCTTTTATAATCAACATAATTAGCTATAGCAGAACAAATTTTCGCCCATTTAAATAAAGCGGAACTTTTATTGGTTTTCTTCTATTACTATTAGATGTCCTTTTGAAATATTCTTGAAAATTTGCTAAAAACCAGCAGTTTCACCTTGCACTGAATGAAGACATAATGCTGATAGCGTTGCCCAGTTGGTATTGCCAGATGCCCACTCCATTGCTTTATCTCGATCTTGCTGTTGAACTATGTCGCAAAGCGATTTAATTTCTTCCTGAAATTTACCTAGTAAAGTTTCCTTACTTGATGATGTTAATTATATTTTGCATTTTGACTTGAATATTTTCGGAACTGCAGGCAAGATTTTTGGGCCCAGAGAACTCAAGATTATGCTGAATCCATTTCAGAAAAAAGAAAATGATGAACAGTTCTCGACCTTGGAAAATTTGACTATATCATTATTAAGAAGAAAAAGAAGAAAATGGAAATTCGTGGCCAATTCAATGAACTGATTTTGTGAAAATTCAGATATGTATCGACCGACTGCTTTTGAATCCTGAAATGGCAACTTTGGAAAATGTAAGAATGAATAAGACCAAATGATAATAATCCAGTTCAACCTACAAAATTAATGATAAAAGTGCTCAAGTTCTGCAAAGGCGCATGCAATGAAACTTTTTGTATCTTCCTAAAGTAACAGTTGTAAAACTTATCAGAGAGGGCACTGTCACAACAAATACGACATAGAAAAATTTATTTTAACTGCTAGAAAAAGTAGGACATTTGAACATTCTTTAAAATTTTTGGATGAAACAGAAAATCATAAATAGTGTAAAAGAGTTCTAATGATTATATACCTGCAATTCGCCAATTAAAACACGATTCTCAGTTGGAAAATTACATTTTTTTGAAATATTAAATGTAGCGTGTGGCTCTTTTGGCATTCCTGCTGGAACATCAACAAGCAAATATTCAACAGGCATTGGACGGCCATTTTTCCTTGTTTCAACGCCGTATTCATTCTTTTCCTATAAAGAGATTTACATAAATACGTGTTGGTCGCAAAGAAGGACAGAATTAATATTAAAAGCAACAGCAGAACTTTATGTGACGTACCATATAATAGACATCAGTGATATACTGTGATGGAGTTAAAGGCACTTCACGTAGGTAAGCCAACTCAGGATGAGAGGTTGGACACAACAAATTTGCCTCAACGAGAGAGGCACACTGATTAGAAACTTGGTAACCACTAAAATCAATTTGGTTCCATTCGTTACCTGTAAGCAATGTAAACCAGAAAAAGTATACTGAATGATACCAAAACTATTTCATTAAATGACGCAAACAATTACAAGTTAACAATTTCAACTTTAAAAGGATAAACGGTTAGAATATTTATTAGTTAACATAAGTTACTAGTTTAATCTACGACTATGCTAACTACAATTTAATGTTTATATCAAATTTTTTCCAATATTGCTTATACGTATTCGTGTTTTAGCTTTCGTCCAAGCTATTACATGTCATTTTAACTTTTGATTTTGATATTGTATCTGCGCTGTTTAAACGGAGGTGACTGCTTTCTAGACAAAAAGATCAGCTGCATTATATAACAGTTTTCCATCTAGCAACAAAGTAAAAATCTTGAATCAAAATGTTAGCTTCGTTTAACCGATACAAAGCTGATCCATTATTTTGAAAAACGGACCTGACGCAACAACCGTGGTAAATTTAGAGCCAAAGTATCCATCTGTGCAAAAAGTAGTTATGTTAGGATATTTATTTTGTAGCCAACCAGCTGTGATGCATTCCTGTGCAGTAAGGAAGAAAGAATCCTGAAATGAAGAACAAAGTCTTTAAACCACGAATTTGGTAGAAATTCAATCAGTTCAATCCAAACAAAGTATGAAATATGGAAACCTTGTGTCGCGTACAACAAACAGTGCCTTTAGATGAATCCGCAGACCATAAGTCAGTGAAAATCCAACCGACCCGTTTCAAATTAAGATAAGAACAAAGTTCATCTACCATTTTCTCTTGTGGATCAGCTTCCAGACATACTGAATCGGCCGAACAAGACTATAATATCACGAATAAGAGAGATAGAAGTAAATTCGAAACAGAAAATAATTAATTATTATATGAGCTTAACAACATAGACAAACCAAACCTGCGGTGGTTCATAAATAGCAGCAACTGTTGCTTTAATCCCAAGCGGAATCTCTTGAAAAGGTTCGTAACGCCCGATCATGTAACCCATTCTTTGATGACCCGTTTTACGCCAAAATGCAAGAAAACGATTTACAACTTCCTCATTTTCAATTGATATATTGTCCACATGTCGAAAACGCTAAAAATGAAAGGAAGAATACGATTCTACACATATATTTGAAGTTTCTTTCGGTAGCAGGGCAGTACTGAATGTGAACGCTATCGTTTCCCCTTAGGGTTACAAGTCTCATTTACTCAAAGATATGTTAAGCATTATTTTACTTTATTTAAAAAATGTTCTAAGATACATCACTCAAGACAACGTTAAATATCGCGTGATATGAAATTTTTCTTGAATAAAAATTTAAGAAACCTGTCTATTCAGTGTAACCATCGGAGGTCGACATTTGCTACATATACCTTGTGGGTAAGGCTTATGACCTGGACAGTTAGGTTTCAATGAACAAATAATATTTTCTAGTGGTTTCTTCAGCTGCGTTCCTTTACCATGGCCAGCAGTCATTTTACGTACATATGCGTGAAATGACATATGTTTGATATCTTTTTTTTTGAGGTAATCTTCATCGTACGGCTGAAAGAACGTTTGTAAACAGCTTCCCAAATCTTTTAACAATTGCCAGAAATGGGAAAATCAGGCTATAACCTAGATTATTTATATGAATTATTATAATTCTCGACTTGTCATCGATAATGAAAGAATGCGATAACAATTAAGTAGAAGCCAGATTTTTGAAGAACTGAAGTTGCCAACGGGAAAGTCACGTCTTAGATATGACAAGGAAAGTCACGGCTTAGAAATGATAAAGAAAGTTACACTCTAGATGTGATAACCATACTTCCAAGCATATTCCCAACAAGTTAAAGGGAGGAGCTTACATCTAACGGTAAGCAGTGGGTGCATTTTTGACGTGTGCCGTGATGACACATGCGTGGATCTCTCTCTCGTATAATCATCCCATCTTGCTTTGCAAGGTAATTGTCCACTTCGTCAACTTTTTCCTGAAAATAACATAGGGTCCGTGTGATTAATACAAGACTGACTTACTAATTTCTGTAACAAAGTTTTACTTTTCAAGTGAATCTTACAATCGAATTGTTGAAATACAATTAGAGTAATTAAATTCGACATTAAACTACGAAAGTTCCTTTTGTGTAAGAACAGGCAGATAATTACGCGTTTGTAGTGAAATATTAATACGCAGAATTTTTTTTGAAAACGACAAACCACTAGTGAAGCTTCGAATACCATACTTTCAGTACTTCCTTCTGTAGTCCTGAAATTACGACGTGTTCATGTGAAACACGACTGCCACTGATATTCAGTTAGTCTCCCGACAAATCCCTAAACTTAGTGACACACACAAGTACCCCACGACATTCCACAGAAGTGACAAGGTCACTAATTTCAACAATGGTTTGTGCTATTATTGGGCAGCTCGGGCATCCGCAAGGTACCAGCATCATGAGGATTAAAAATAGGGACTGTTACACCTATGGCCAAACTTTGTGGGTAGGTAGGTACATTAGATCTGTGTTATTCGGACGACATCCTCTTCCTTCTGTGTTTCTTCCACAGGTAATACCAAGTCTTACTGTATTGCCCCTTACAAATCGAAGCACTTATGTGAAGCAAAAAATGTCGGCCCACTTTAAAAATATTTTGCTGTGTTCATAAAGGTGTTGTGAGTTACTGACCTCTGCGCATTTTCTGCTTGTCGATCACCGATATTCTAATTCTGTGGCCCGGTCTTCGCTTAGAATGACTGACTCGAATGAAGCTATTAACTACGCAGTGGCTGAAGGCAGATTAAGTAAAAATAGTTTGTAGATACTGATCTTTTATCTTTTGTTGGTCGAAATAATTTGTTAAGGCCTCTCATCGACTATCTAGAGAGGGGCAAACTCGAATTACATGTTGCAAGTTTGCAGTTTAGAGTAAATAGTCCCAATACATCGTTTTTTGTCTCGTTTTTGAGCTAACTTCCATTTTCACTGTGATAATTCATCCCTCAAAGGTATGAAGAAGCAAAGCTCACCAATGAACGCGGCAAATCAAGCATATTGTCAAATCTATGCAAGAATATTCTTTTCTCCTCTAGTCATACTCTGCCGCTTATTTCTACCGATCCATATATATATATATATATATATATATATATATATATATATATATATATATATATATATATATATATATATATATATATATATA